ACCAGCCACACTCCACGAAAGCAAGTAGTAGTACTCCTGACAAGTCTTGTTTCGTTCCATAGAGATAATAACGGGGAACTCATCAGAGGAGAAGCAGTTGTTGAATGAAGGGGTTTAGCTGAATAATGCTATTTTATAGAAAAGATATCGGCGCACTGAGGTGTAAACACTCAACTAACTCACATATGTGACATATCAACACAAAAGGAATAGTGCAGAATGGAGGTGTTCTGAACCCTACCAGACACAACTATCACAAGTGCTAAATCATTCACAATGAGAAGGAGAGGTACACAGGAATAGGTTGCGCTAGCCTTTTTTTTTTTTTGTTTACACGTCACAAATGGTACTGAGGTAGTGACAAAGATAGGTGAAAAGTAGACGCCAAGTGAAAGCCAACACATCATCACGAACGTCTAACGTCACATCTGAAGATTGCTAGCGGCACAAGACAAATACTTCACAAACCTCGATAATTGAAATTCAGCCAGCGGTATAGTGGAAGGAAGGCTGCTGGGTGTGACATAGAACTGTGGGCTGCTGAGGCGACGTATCCATCCTGATCTTGACTGCAAGGTTGGCGTCTAACGCTAAAATCCGAGCAGCAGATCAAATCCTTCCTCTGGTCAATGGCAGATTTCCTGGTCCAGGAGAAGTCATAATTCTTTGTGCCATCTTCAATAGGTCCGTCAAATACAGTAGTAGTAGGTTTTTCATTTCGACCCGACGAGACCATACGACGCTTGTAGATCACAGCACGAACAGTTCACCAGCCACACTCCACGAAAGCAAGTAGTAGTACTCCTGACAAGTCTTGTTTCGTTCCATAGAGATAATAACGGGAAACTCATCAGAGGAGAAGCAGTTGTTGAATGAAGGGGTTTAGCTGAATAATGCTATTTTATAGAAAAGATATTGGCGCACTGAGGTGTAAACACTCAACTAACTCACATATGTGACATATCAACACAAAAGGAATAGTGCAGAATGGAGGTGTTCTGAACCCTACCAGACACAACTATCACAAGTGCTAAATCATTCACAATGAGAAGGAGAGGTACACAGGAATAGGTTGCGCTAGTTTACACGTCACAAAATACTGAGGTAGTGACAAAGATAGGTGAAAAGTAGACGCCAAGTGAAAGCCAACAAATCATCACGAACGTCTAACGTCACATCTGAAGATTGCTAGCGGCACAAGACAAATTATCCATATAAAAATCGCTCTGTGAGCGGTTCTGAAAAACCTTTACTGGTACTGCCCCGTCGTAAAAGTAAGAAATTAGAACTGGCCCATTGTCCCCCCAAATGCGAACTGATCCACCTAAATCGCGAATGACGGGACCCGAACGCACCAGTAGCACGAGGTCGGGAGGGCACAGGATCACGGCAATTATCATAGGGTAACACCAGTAGTAGCAGTAGAATTTATTATTTTGATAGGGAAGCCTACCGCTAGTACAGTACATGGCCTATGGTCCGGACCAACGTCCCCATCTGCATCCACAGGTAGGAACCTCGTGCTACTGGTGCGTTCGGGTCCCGTCATTCGCGATTTAGGTGGATCAGTTCGCATTTGGGGGGACAATGGGCCAGTTCTAATTTCTTACTTTTACGACGGGGCAGTACCAGTAAAGGTTTTTCAGAACCGCTCACAGAGCGATTTTTATATGGATAATTTCAGCTCTTTTTCCGTTCCCTCCCCACCCCAACCCCGAAGGTAAACATGATGACCACGCGCGCGATGTACTGTATGTAGCCATGCGATTGCAATAACACACTGATACATACCAGCCCTCCCCGCCTCGCTACCCCGCACACAGATACACAAACATGTGTATGCACACGGCACACACACGTGACCACGCACACATACGCACATGCACACGACACAAACAGGAAATTCTTCATGTATAATGCCATGCAAAGCAGTGGCCACCGTACTTGAGGAAGTCAGTTGTGAAACAAAAATAATTCAACTACAGCGTGTAGACAAGCTGAC